CTACAAGAGATCCTTCCTGCCCACAGCCATCAGCATCTAGAACAACTCTTTAATGAAACCAGGATGATGAGTTACCACAACATATAATTTCCCTCTGGGATTAATAAAGTATTTTTGAATTGAAATCAAATCCCTCAGGGGTGGGGGACATGGGGGCGCTGCTTGTTCTAGACTCAATGGATGTCAAAGCAGAATAACTGTCCTCTGGAATATTAAACACACAAAGAACAGAGAAGATTCTGGAAAATGTAAAGTAAGCAGAGCATGTAAACAGCTGTCATCTGCAGAGAGTGATGACCCCCCCCCCCCCCCCCCGATCATCGTCAGAGGATTTTAATTTACATACTTGCTGGTTACACTTTAAATGTATAGTGAAAAGCTTATGTGTTCTGTGGATTATAGCATTTTTGTTCAGCTGAGCTACACGATTCATTCTCTATAGCAGCATGATCCTGCTCGGGGTCACAGGAGGATTGGAGGACGTCCCAGCTGTCACAGGGTGAGGAGCGGTGCCGTCCCAGCACAGGTTCAGAGCCCGTCACAGGGCTTAGAGACACACGAGGGAAACGATCACGCACTTTCACACTCTGACCTCAAGTCAGGCTCGAATCGTCAACATTCACACTTTTACAAAAGTTGGGTCAGGTCCTCTGATGGATTCTTCTTTGTTGAAATGTTTCATCTTTTATCCAAATGACTTCTTCAGACAGAGTCAGAGTTACACATCTCTGTACTCAGAGTTACACTACTCTACTCTACTCATTATTCTATTCCTTACAATCTTCTTAGTAAGACCAGGAAGCAGAGGACTACAGAAGTCGGTCCTGCAGGTCAAGGTGTGGATTAAAGGCTCTGCTTCAACTTTGGGAAGGTTTCTGAGATTAGCGTTCCATGACAGTACCAGTATGCACAACGCTCGCTGCCTTTAACGCCTGAGAGCTAAACATTTTTACGTATAGCCATCCATCTTCCTTACAAGCTTTTTCCTTTCCGGTTCCTGGGGCAGCTGGTGCCCACCTTCAGCGGTCATTGCGTTAAGAGGCGAGGCACACCTGGACTGGTCACCAGTCCATCTCAGGGACACAGAGACCATTAACCATTACCGCTCTTACTCACTCCTTACTTTCTGACTTTTTGTGAGCGTGACAACCAAACAAATGTAGACAAGGGCAAACACATGATCACCACATCGTCTTTGAAAAAGGGCTCTGAGCAGATAAACAGTGCAGCTTCTCAGCAGACGTGTGCTGGAGACTCGTCCTCGGAGCACTCAAGAGGAATCAAAGGACGTCAGCAACATCAAAGAAATTAGACACCCTCTTCATCTCGTGCACAACAGAGACAGCAGAAACAATCCAAGCAGACAGTCTCAGGAGACGCAGCGTCCAGTCCAAACATAGAGCAAATAAAAAAGGCGAGGAGGAAGTTTCCTACCTTGTAGGTGTACGGTGCTCGTCCCAGGTTGATCCCATCTTTTGCCAGTTTGTCTCTGATCAGAACTTTGAGCTTCAGTTTGGGATAAGGCACAAAGTCGTTACAGTCCGAGAACCTCAAGTTATGGTTCCCAGGACAGGAGGTCTGGTGGAGTGACCCAAAGTGTTCCCCTCTGTCTGGGCAACAGCCAGGAGCACCCGGGGGCTCCAAGGTGAAATAATAACCAGGTTTTTTCTTCCCGTCTTCCTCTTTTAGCGCCTGCACGGCTGTGAGCAGCCGGTGCCGGTGATACTGAACCTGGACTCCGATCGCATCCAGATCCAGCTCCCCGATCTGTTTGCAGACTTCCAGATCATCGTAGCCGTTGTCGAGGAATGACTCGACGTACTGGGCCAGCTGAAGCTTCGACAGCCACTGGAGGACGAGACTCGGCCCCTGGCTCATTTTCAGAGAGAACTAATGGTTCTGCTTTAATCGCACATCAGTGTCTCTGATGACGTCACAGAGATGTTGGGAAAGTCCAGCACCGTGGTCCACCTCACAGACGGTCCCA